TATTCACTAGCTGTTCATGCTGATTTTATGAGCCAAAATTACTGTGAATAGAGAATAGACTGATATAATTTTGTTTGTATATATATACATGTATTTTTTCTGACAGTGATATAAAATTGTTCTCTCAATAAATCCTGCTTTCTCACTTAAAAAAATTGGATTCATACTATACAAATTTCTGGCTTATTTGCCTTTACTATCATGGACATCTTTTGAGGTCTGTTCATAAATCTCATTCTTTTAGTGATTTTATAGTACATTATTGCATGGATACCACATTGAGCCATTTAGCTTTTGATGGACATTTAGTTTGCTAATCATGCCATTATTTGATAGTGTGATGGAAATGCCAAATTCTATTCGAGAGGATTATGCCAATTTATATCTGAACAACCTTTGACTATTTTAGGTAGCTTTTTCAGTATTCCTAATCTGTATCCCTGCATGTATGAGTTGTACGAGACACTTAATGTTGTGTGCTTTACAATCATTGTTTTATTCTTATAACCTTATATGATGGAAATTATTATCTCCATTTTACATGTGACAGATTCAAAGAGAGTAAATAACCTCTCCCCAAGATCACAATAGCTAGGAAGTTGCAGAGGCAGGGTTAAGACCCAAATCTGTGAAACTCCAAAGCTCATCAATATTACTCACCCTTTACCCCTTGCTATGCTGCCTCTTGGTAACTAACAGCACATACATAAATCTCTCAACATAGCTCCTACAGCCCACTTGCTGCATACTAAACTAAACACAGTACCAGACACCTGATTCATGCTGTCAACATTAGGCAAACTCTTTACTCTTTTCAACCTTAGCTTTATCAGGGAATTTCTAAGGCTTCGTATCCAGTACCTCCTATGAAGAGATAAAGGTACCCGGCATATTTCAAAGTTTGTTAAGTCTTTTAAAATCAAACTGTAACTGTTTTGGAAATTCTAAATCACCATCTAAATATAAGTCTGGTCGTTAAGATAACTTCTGGAAGAGGCTATACATAATATTCACTTTTCCCTACATAATTTCACTACCAGTTTGTGTAATATAAGCCCACTGATAACAGATCAAGTCTAAAAAAAATCCTTAGCACTTTCTTTGAAAGTGAAGGAAGCTTTAAAAAGTATGACTTTCAAAACAGCCTGGTATTGGTACAAGAACAGGCATATAGACCAATGAAACAGGATAGAGATTCTGGAAGCAAAACCTCAATTTCTCAACCAACTCATCTTTGACAAAACCTCCAACAACAACGACTGGGAAGAAGAGAACCTATTCAGTAAATGGTGCTGGGAAAACTGGCTAATTACATGCAGAAGATTGAAACAGGAACCCTACCTATCACCATACACAAACATTAACTCTAAATGGATTAAAGACCTAAATGTAAAACCTCAAACTATAAGAACCTTAGAGAATGCAGGAGACACCCCCTCTGTTCACAGTAGCAAAAACATGGAACCAGTCATGCTGCCCATTGAAGCTGGACTGGATAAAAAAATGTGGTACATATACACAATGAAATATTATGCATCCGTAAAGGAGGACAAACATATGGACTTCTCAGCAACTTGGATGGATTTAGAGTCGATCATACTCAGTGATCTATCACAGAAACAGTACCATATGTTCTCACTCATAAGTGAGCCTTGAACGATTATACTACTATTATAAGGGACTGGCTGTAGTGGAAAATGCCTGGGGAGGGGGGTGGGATTGGCACTTAAGGGAAACTGCTGGGGGAGGGAGGGGCATACCTCATCAACAAGGGTACTGCATAATCAACGTTTGTATACCTAACCCTGAGTTGTACCCCACATGTTTAAAATAAAAATTGAAAATTAAAAGTTTGATTTTGAGACTGGGTGCAGTGGCTTATGCCTATAATCCCAGCATTTTTGGAAGTGTAGGTGGGAGGATTCATTGAGGTTAGGAGTTCAAGGCCAGTCTGGGCAACATAGAAAGCCCTCATCACTACAAAAAATTTTAAAAGCTGGATCCTTTGAGTCTGCAGTGAACCATGATTACACCATTGCACTCCAGCCTGGGAGACAAGAAAGACCCTATCTCTTTAAAAAAAAAAAAAAAAATGTATGATTTTGCTCCACCTTCCAAAGGAAGATGGGTTCTGCTGACTCAAATCCCATAAGGGAATATTTTTTTCCTCATCCTTTTTTAATCTCCATCCTTCTGTCTCCAAGTTATTAGGGGACCATTCCCGGGAGATCTTAATAGAATGTGTGCTGTCCCAGTCATAATGATGTTTGTTGCCTGTTACTTTCTCAGAGTTTAGCATTTTACCCTTCCATAGCTACAAAATGTGACATTGTATATTATGTGTAGTGTAATTTAAGAAAAGATGTGTCTAGCAAAGATAACATGAAAGCAAAAATCCTCTGCCTGCTGATTCTTTCTATAAAATTGCAGGTATGTTAACTCAGAAAGGGAGAACCAATAACTTAAAATCTTTGTGTTATTTTTGTGGACTTTTGTTTTCCTACCAAAGTATCAGGACTGTGTCTTATTTAACTCTATTACACATCCTTTCTGGCATGTTTTGAACATAGTAATTGCACAATAAATGTGTACTGGCCTACATGTAATAGCCAATGTTGTGTTGGGTAGCAGATACCTTTGACCAGCTTATGAGTGTAGCCCCTTACCTACCACCCAGCTTTTCTTTTAGGTGCTTTTTTTTTCCTGGTTCTAGGATTTTTGTGTGGAAAATAAGAATTTCTTCCTGTAAAAAAATAACCTATCCTTACCTAGCAGATGCCACCTTTTTTTTTTTCCTGCCAGAGTTTAATACTCAACAGAAGTGGTATACAATATTCACATCCTGAAAGGTGTTTCAGTCATAAAATGCCTTATTTTCCAGGCTCTAGATTACATAAGTTTTATTCTCTAGAAGAAATCCTTTACCTTGAACTTATTCATGGTAGGAAAAAGCTGAATCTAATTTTTTTTAACTTTGTTGGCAGATGCTGATCAACTAAAGGAAAAAGTAAAAGATCTAGAGACACAGCTCAAAGAATCAGATGTAGAAAAGCAGCATTTGAAGGTGATTGAATATTATATCTAATTTTAGTATTGTTTTGTGAAGACACCTGTTGAAAACTTTTTATGATCACTGAGTTTTAAATATGATCCAAAAATCCTTGTAATAACATTTTATACTTATAATATTTGACCTTCATATTGCAGAGTTCATTGTTTATCTGACTACTTTAAAAATATTTACTAAAAAGAACTAACAAAAAAGACAAAACAAACAGAAAGGATTAAATGTAAATTTATTTTTTAACTATAACAAATATAGGTCATTATTTTAATACTTTCATAATTTAAGCTTTGGTTCACATTGGCAGCAGTGTCTTTAGTTTCTTTGGAAATTATTTTCAGGAATCTTCTCTTAAAAAAATACTTGTTATACTTTACACCTTTTAAGACCATAAACAGAGCTAAAAGAGCATAAATATGAGAATTAGGTAGTGATCACTGGCTATTATAAATAGTCGTGAAAGCTCAAATTCTTTTCACGAAATGCCTACTTAGCCAGGTAGAAAAGTTCCAAGGTTTTCCGGGATCATAAATATACCTCAAAAAGTTGATCACTATCCATTAATAATAAAGGTATTTGTAAAGAAAATGTATAAAGAATAAGTTATGGCCATCAAGTAGGTAATGGGGTATGGTGAATTTCTCCACACTCACAACAACAAAACTTAACCAGAATTTAATGTTGTGAATAACTAAGTCTTTTTGATTACCTTGTTGAGAGAGTATATGCTTCCAGAGAAAGATTATAAATCCCACCATAATCTAAGAGTTCATCAATTTTAGTCAAAGACTGCAACATAATTTACAGAATAGATATTTTAACAGTTAACAACTTCGTTATTTATACTGTACAATGGAACTTTATTAAGAAAATGTTAGGGAAATACTTCTGCTTTATAGTTACTGACTACTCAGGATACTTTGGCTTTCACGTTGGTAGTAAATCTCTTAGTTTAAACCTATAATATGTATTTTATTTCCTATATGCAACTTTTAAAGATAATATGTTTCTTTGTTTCTAGGAGGAAGTAAAAAAGCTGAAAAAAGAACTGGAAAATTTTGATCCTTCATTTTTCGAAGAAATTGAAGATCTGAAGTATAATTACAAAGAAGAAGTGAAAAAAAATATTATCTTAGAAGAGAAGTTAAAAAAGCTTTCAGAACAATTGGGAGTTGAATTAACTAGCCCTGTTGCTGCTTCTGAACAGTCTGAAGATGAAGAAAGTCCTGTTAATTTCCCCATTTATTAAGGGATACCTATAACTAGTTTTAACTATTTATTAACTTTATAAGTTAAGATTCCATCTGGAAGTAAGTCTCTGAACTATAGTATTTTCCTCTCACTACCCTGTACACCTTTACTTAGATTGGAATTTTTAATAAAATTATATGAAAGTTTTAACTTGATAGAGAAGCATATTTTTGAAGACTTTAGAATAAGTTATAAGCTATTTCTCTGCATTCATAATGCTTTAATTATGTTTTTTAAAGAACACAAGGGTAAATTTAGCAATTATAACATTTAAAATTGGGGTTTTTATATATTCTTACATATTTATATATTTGTTAATATTCCCAGTCCTATGATATATATACAGATATATACACACATATAGGTAATGAAGTCAAGCCATATATTTTGTTAAATTGTCTAGCAAAATTAAATGGAGCTTAATGAAACTTTAATTTTGAAAGTAAATGACATTAAATTGTTATCTTTGAAAAAAAGTATGATTTTGCTCCGCCTTCCAAAGAAAGATGGGTTCTGCTAACTCAAATACCCTAAGGGAATATTTTTTTTCCTCATCCTTTTTGTTGTTGTCTTTAAATTACTACCCAGTTGCTTTTGTACAAAACTTGGAAGCTTACTGTTATTTACATTTTTATGGCCAGAGGTTAAAATTAATTTGCTAATTCTAAATAAAATTTTGAATAGGTATTTGAAACAGAAAAATTTATTTCTTCAAATGGTAGAAGACATATTGATATATCTCATAGTGAACAATAGAAACTTTGAGATATTTTTAAACATGGCAGAATATTCAAAGTTACAATATAACAATAATAGAACTAATTACAATTATATTTGCAGTTTATACATCAAGCTTTATGTCTTTGAGCCTACCAAATTTCTGATTATCTATTTTTAAAAAATGATTAAACAAACACTTAGTATCAAAGACATAGTCATATTTGTTCAAGTTCATGTTGATAATAACGGGTTTTGAATTCATATAAGTATCTGGAATTGGCCAGCATAAACCAAGATGATGGCGATGGACCTAGAAAGAGAAAAAAAGTTATTAGTGTTAGCCGACAGACACTATCTATCTTCATTCACTTAGAAATATCTGAATGCCTACTATCTTCCAGGCACCATGTAAGGTTCTATTTTATTTAACCCTGTTTTGTTTTGTTTTTGTTGAGTCAGAGCCTCACTCCATTGCCCAGGCTGGAGGGCAGTGGCACACATACGGCCACCACAGCCTCAACCTGCTGGGCTCAGGCGATCTTTCTGCCTCGGCCTTTCAAGTAGCTGGGGCTACAGGCACACACTACTATACCCAGCTTTTTTTTTTTAATTTATTGTAGAGACGAGGTCTCACCAAGTTGCCCAGGCTGGTCTCGAACCCCTGAGCTCAGGCAGCCCTGTCACCTTGGCCTCCCAAAGCACTGGGGATTATGGGCTTGAGCCACCGTGCCCAGCATGGTTTTTCTCAAAGCTGTTCTTCTCCTGATTTATTGCATATTTACTTGTTTATTATTTATATTCTCCATTAGAGTGTGAGCTTCATGAAGGCAGAGACACTGCTGACATTGTATTTCCAGGTGCTGGAAACATGCCAAGAACATAATCAGGGGCTCCATAAAAATTCAATGAATAAAAAAAGACTTGCAGAGTACAGAAACTAGTTAGCTAAGAAACGAGGGTGAGGAGGTATTCTGACCAAAGGGAATATTATGTAATAGAATGGAGGTTTTTGCTCTAATTGCAGTTAGTTAAAATATGGTTACAGCATCTGCAATGCTAGTGTGTTTGGGAGTGAGGGTGAGGAGCAGCTCTGGAAAGTTAAGCAAGGGCCAGATCATGAAAAATCTTAATGTAACTATAGAGTTGTATGCAGGAAACAATGCTCATTTACTTGAAAAAAATGGACGGGACAGGGATAAGACTGAAACATGCTGTTTTTGGAGTGTGGTATAACAGTTCAAGCACAGATCTGGGTCTAAATGAAAATGAACAGTTAATTGGTAGAAGAAAAGTACAAAGATTAGAATCTTTAAGATCTGACAGTTGGATGTATGAAGTAATGGACATAGGGGTTAAGAGGAAGAACCAAGGTTTTATTTCAGTGAATTATGTGGGGTTAGGGAGTTAAGACGGTCTAGTTCTTAACATTATGAATTTCAGGTACCTGTGAGAAATCAAACAAGTCCAGGAGACAGGTAGAAATAAGATACTATCATCTTGCCACTCATTTTACTCAACAAATTCTAAAAGTAAGTTTGGGAAATGATGAGTTATATTAGTACATATGTCACAGGGAGCACTATTATTCAAGAACGTCAAGAAGGGAATAGATGGTATCACTTCAATTTTGTAGCCATCTGGTATGATCAGTGCCCCCCAGAGTACACACTTGGGAAACACTCTTTCCATATTTAAAGAAAAGGTGGCATGTGAAGTAAAATTTAATTTCTTTACTGCAAATAAGAATTGCTGCAGTTTGTAGAAAGAATCTTAGTAACACTTCTACTTTGTCATAACATGAGATGACATAACCCCAGAGAAGCTATTTTTTGCCATTACCTTAATTAAACAGCCATCACTGCAATGCCAGACTATTCCTTCAATTTTACCCTCTCTGCAACCTTCAAACCAGGACAAGAGATCATTGTGCTTCAATGTAGGCAGAGTTCTTATTTGAAATGCTCCATGTGGTATAAGAAAATGTAATGGATGCTTCTTGCTTCCTAACCCTAAACAGTAAAATCTGTCATTAGCCATAGTAATTCAAAAGAACTTTTCAAAAAGAATGAGAAATGTGCCTTCCCAAGTAAAAGATCTTTTTTAAACATTTAGGAATAAAAGTAGAAAAAGTTTAGCTGGTACCTTATTCCAATTAATATATATTCCATCTTTGTACTCAGCTCAAGGGTTTAGAAAACTATAACCTGCAAGCCAAGTCTAGATAGGCACCTATTTTTGTAGATAGTTTCTTTGGAACACAATCATACCCGTTTATTTCAAAGGTGTCCCCCATAATGCTTAAATTGCTCGCTCTCTGGCCTTTTGCAGAAAGACCGCCAGCCCCTCCACTGCAGCATTACCCACATTCACCTATTATTGAACATGTGTCAAACAACCACACTGTATCTCTGATAACTTGCCCAATTACCGTATTAGCTTCTTTACAACTGCCAGTCAATCTACTTTTGTTCTCTATATAGGATGTTCCTATTACAGCTTACATGTCCTTAGGTCTGTTTTTTCATCCCTCTGTCAACAGTGTACTTCCTAGTACCCTCTGGACTTGTGTTCAATTCATCATGGTATATAATTTGATGCTTGGAATGGTCATTCACTGCCAATTCCTTATTTACTCTACACTTGGCTGTTTAAATTAACGGTATAACTACTACGAAAAGTGCATTTCAATCAATTCAGCTCACCTGAATTTTAAAAAACAATGAAAAACTACGTCTGAGTAATTACTCTTCATACGTTGATTCATGTTATTACAGGAAAGAGGATAAAATGAACCTTTTGGATTAATACATCAAAATGGTTTAATTTGTCCACGAACATAAAATTAACAGAAATGGATGTATTAGGAAACTATTAATAAAAATTTGTTAGTCATTGCTTTAGTGTGTGTGTATGGTTTTTAACTGGATTCTAGAAAGTTCTCTTTATAAATGGCAGTTACTGTGACTGAACAAGAAAAATGTTTTACTCACCATATGGATTTCCATTGATATTTGTTCCTATGAGCTCCAGGGTCTGTTCTAAGAGATCTGACAGTGGCACTGCACTAATTTCCAAAACTCCAGGATCATCAGGATGATGCTTTAGCACCAGGGCAATTTCAAATTCATAATTAATGACAGAGGAATGCCAGCAATACTGTTTGTTATTTTTCTCTACTGGTACCCAACCTATCACATAAAGAAAAAAATTTTTTTGTGTGTACCCTGAGGCTTTGCCAAGTCCTTTATCAGTGCAAACAGGTTTTTGACAGATTCTCTTGGATTATTGAGGAATAGGATCATATCATCAGCAAAGAGGGATAACTTGACTTCCTCTTTTCCTATTTGGATACCCCTGATTTCCTTCTCTTGTCTAATTGCCCTAGCTAGGACTTCCAACACAATGCTGAACAAGAGGGGTGGGAGTGGGCAGCCTTGTCTTGTTCCAGTTTTCAGGGGAAATGTTTCCAGTTTCTGTTCATTTAGCAATATGTTATCTGTGGGTTTGTCGTAGATGGCACTATTTTGAGGTATGTTCCTTCTATACCTAGGTGCTTTAGGGTTTTTATCAAGAAGGGACGCTGGATTTTATCAAAAGCTTTTAGTGGGAAACTGTCG